CGACAAGGTAGATCGAGGGATGCATCCAGTGCCAGGGCGCGGTGGGTAGCAACGTGAAAGCGCCTGCTCAGTGCCCGCCCGCCGCACGACAGCACGCGGCCTGCTGTCCGCGGCGGTAGGCCTGCTCGTGCGGCCGCGCCGAGCGCCTCTGTGAGCGGCTCCATGAACATTTTCTGTCTGGCGCGCTCACCGTGCGCCAAGGACGCCTGGAGACGGTGAGCCGCCGTCGGGAGCTTGCCGTTGTACGCCGCCACGGCATCCAGGAAGCCGCGCGTGCCGGTGGCCTGCGTGGCAAGGAGGGCCTCCGCTGGGCAGCCCCAGCAAGGTGGCGGCCCTGGCTGCGGCCGCGTGCCAGGAGGCGACATGGGCGGCCTCGCGCCTCGGCCCGGCCGCGCCAGCGGCAAGACCTCCCAGAGTGGCAGGCAGGCCTGCGTCCACTTCTGGTCAATCATAGCCACGCCCACGATGCCATCCCAGAGACCGCGGAGGACGCGGTCGTAGCCATCCACGGTGCGCGAGTCCTGCAGCTGTGCCCGGAGGAGGTGAGTGGGGAGCCCTTGGGCAGTCCACCACAACATGGTAGTGGCCTCCTGCGGCCCGAAGCTGGCTGGCAGCCAGCGCCGCGTGCAAGGTCTCGCCGAACGCGCGCAGAGCGTCTGTGGCTGCGTTCATGGCGCGGGCACTGCCGCCAGAGCCGAGGGCGAGCTCGTACCAGTCGTCGTCCTGGCGGCGCGTGAGGGTGGACCCTACGACCCGCAGGTCGTCCACGACGTCTTGTCGCAGCGTTTCTGGGCACTGAGACTGCCCCAGGGGCAGCCACACCTTGGTCTTGTCCGCGTTGAGAGCGAGCCCGCAGCTGTTGAGCGCGCCGGCCATGTCGCGGAGAAACTCCTCTGCTTCCGAGCTGGGGACCACGGCGATTACATTGTCCAGGTAAGCCGTAACCAACCAGCTGGGTCGAGTGACCAGGTGCCGCAAGACGTGGTGGTGCAGCGCGACGGCGTAAGCTGCCGGACTGAGTGAGGGACCCCGACGCCCGTGTTCAGCTCGTGCACCCCTCCCAGCGCTGTCTCTCCAAAGCCCCACCGCAGGCCGTGCATAGAGCCGGGCCAGGAGGCTGCTGAATCCGGGCAAGACCGCGCCAAGCGAGGACAGCACGGCTCCACGGGTGAGGGTGCCGAATACGTTCGACACGTCAACAGCCACTAGCACGCTTCCCGGCCGGTCGCGGGCCGCAGCCTGGAGCACCCTGAGTTGGACGTCCGCGCCTCCGGGAAACCCGAGGCCGTACTGGCACGCCCCTGCGGCTGCGTGGGTGGCCGGGCTTGTGTGGGCCACCACGCCTGCGGCGAAAGGGGTCGAAAACCTCCGGGACCAGCAGATTATTCTCTCAGCCCAGAAATGTTGAAGGTCAGGGTTCACAGACTGCCTGCATGCAGCTCTGTGCCCCCTCCTGGATTGGCCGCGCGCACAAGGGGGTGGGGCGAGGGGGGCATCCTAAGGAGGATCGGAGGCTTCCTTTGCTGTTTCACACATCTCTGGGATGAGAAGGAAGAAAGCTAAGAGGACACCGCGAAACAAGCTCGAGCGACAACATTTGGCATCCCACAAACAGATCCAGCAGCCGCGCGGCACTCCACAGAAGGGAGAAGAAGAAAAGAGGAAGAGGAAGCGGAGACGAGGAGAGGTGGAGATCTGAGCAAAACCATGTGGATCATTACCAGCCGACTGGGCACCCCGTGACCATAACTACAGCCGAAAATATGACCAAGAAAACTATCATTTCAGAAATCTGGACTGGCTTACCGGAAGTGTTTTAAAACACACCTGGGCTAATTTTTGCTGTTGACGCTGCAGGGGCCAACGTACTCCAGAAGCTGGGCCAGCTCTCGGGTAGGTAGGTGAAGAAACGCCCGCCCAGCTTTTCAGGAGGAGGCTTCTTCATCAGATGCTTGACCCCAAGCCCCTGCAATCGGGGCGTTAGTAAGCGGGGCGGCAGCTAAGGGGTCTCGTGAAGCGAGAACGGGGTGACAAGGCATTTACCTCGCACCAGTGCGTCATAAATCGGGACGACAACAACGTCGATCGTCGATACGTCATCATAACTTTGGGCGGGGGGGTACCTCGCACTTGCACGCGGCAGCTCGCACGTTTTAAAACACAATTGAAAACGCACTCTTACGATGATGGCATTGGATCAGGAAACCTTCGATAAGGAATCCAGGGTCTGGAAGCGCCAGTGGAAAGCCAATCGTGGATTGGCCACGGATATCACCGCCGCCCTCATCAGATAAGGAACCCTCCAGGATCTGAAGCCTCCTGGACGCGCATTCCTTAGCGAACGCCCCCACCGTAGCTACGGGCCGTTCACTAACGCCCCGTTTGCAGGGGTTTGGCGACCGCAAGCGCGCTCCCCGAGCGCCGCGCCAAAGGACGGATCCCCAGACCCCCGACGTCGTGTTTTTTTTTAGCAACGTCGACCCCAGAGGTCTGGACCCCA